CTGCGCGCGCCAAGCACCTTGCGCGCGCCAAGCGCCCGCGGTGCCCATCCTTTCTGCTGTCATTATCCTCATAGGACAAGAGTGGAAGCACCCATTCAGGACTAGGTGGACTCCAGAATCAAACCCTAAAGTTCCACCATTCTCTGTAACCTGCCAATGGTGGGTCCTCAGTTTCCCATCCCTACTAAGAAGTAGGCCAGACACCTCCAACTTTAATGTGCACGCTCGGCACCTGCAGATCTTGTTAAACTGCAGATCCTGGCCTGGTAGGTGGGGTGGGCTGGAGACTGCGTTTCTAACAAGTTCCAGGTGAAGCCCATACGGCTGGGCTAGGCTTCTTCCCATCCTGCAGACACAGGCTTGTTCATCCTAGTGCCCCCTGCTCAAATGCACATTGAGTCAGACGTTGAGGTGTTAAGTGCTTGTTTCTGGAGATAGGCAAATCTAGGAGGAGATTCCTGATCTGCTCATCTTGATTGGATGACTTTGGGCAGTCGTCTGACCCAACTGTGCCTCAGTTTCTTGATCTACAAAAGGTAATTCCAACAGTGTCTGCCTCATAGGATTGTTGGTGAAAGGTTGATGAGAAAATGGTCATAAAGTACTCAACACTTTGGAAGTGCTCAATGAACACTTAGCCATTATTAATGTTATCATGTTTAGACTCACACATCTTAATTAGGCATCTTGCTATTTGTCTCCCCTGTCAATTGTAAGGATGCTATAATTCTCCTCTTCATTATAACAGCCACAGAACCTAGGACAAGACATGGCACAGAGTATGCACTCAGTCAACATCTGTGGCTATTAAGAAAAAGAGGCTGGTATGGTTTGGATAGGTGTCCCTCAAAATCTCATGTGTCAAAGCTTTGGTCAAGAGCCTGTGGTGCTCATTGGGTAGCTGCGGAACCTTTAAGAGATGAGGCCAAGTGAAAGATCTTGCGGCCATTGGAGGTGTGGCCTCGAAGGGGATTGTGGGAGCCTGGCCCCGCCTCTTCCTCTTCCTCTTTTCTTTTCCCGCCATCTTCTAGCGGAGCAGCTTTCCGCCTGTTTCTGCTCTCAGGTGCTGTCTCACCTCAGGCTCGACGAGTCAGCAACCAGCCTACCTTGGGTTTAAACACCTAAAATTGTGAGCCTAAATGAATCTTACCTCTTTATAAGTTGATTACCTGAGGTTTGTTAGGGTAACAGAAAACCAAGGCCACCTCTGGTCTTTGCACAGCCCCGGGGGAAGCCTCCGCCAGAGCTGGGACTCAATGCCCTCCCTCTGGTCCTTCCTTGGAGAGCTCCCCACGTCTTGCAGCCCTCAAATGCCTGCCTGCTTCTCCTTTCATCTTGGCTCCCAGCGGCACCAGTCTTTCTGTATCTCCATCCCCACAGAAACCCCTCCCTTCGGCCATCTTCCCTTCCCCCTCCCGTCTTAGTGCTTGAAAGAGTGAGTCGCAGCGTCGGCCCTGTCTTCACCTCCCACTCGTTCCTCAGCCCACAGCAATCTGGCGCCCTCCCCCACCACTCCTCTGAAAATCCTGCCTGTAAAGTCCCCAAAGCCCTCTTCATCTGACAGATCCTGTGGTTCTTTTCCCATCCCCATCCTGCCTGACCACTAGGTAACTTTCTGCCCCGCTCTCCCTCCTGAACTTTGGAAAATTCCACCTGTGTGGTTTTTCCTGTACTCTGAGAGCCTCAGCTGTCTTTGTCTCTCTGCTTCTCTGGTTCCCCTTTCTCTCTCCTGAAGCTTGGCTTTTCTCCTGCCTTGAACCAACCCAATGAAATGTTGATGGCTCCCAACATGGCATCTATCTCTACTCTCTCCCCCCAATACTGTCTGGAGTATGTTTGAAAGCAGAGATTCTATAGGGTGTTCAGGGCGAGATAGGGCGTTGCACCCAGACTCTGACATATGGGTTCTGTTAATTCTTTGCTTAAGGCTTCTTATCCATCTCAGTTGGGGTTAATATTAGTTCTGATCCCAAAGGGTGGTCAGAATAGCTTCAATAGGTGCTCTGTGAACAGTCACCATTATTTTTATTGTGATGAGGAGGAGGAAGAAAGGGACCTCTTGCTAAAAGCCTTCATTCATTGGCTTTTCTTTTCCTACAGGATGAAACCAAATTTCTGACCTTCTCATTCACATTGCCCCATAATCTGATTGTCCCAGCCTTTCCTTCTAAGTAAATGCCATTTTTCTCACATGCTACACCATCAACATTTCTATTTTCTTTCAGATGATTCCCATTGCTGAATATAGTACCTGTGCTCAGTAGCCACATAGTAGCTAGGGGCTCATCTATTAAGTCAATAACTACATCAGAAGTTAGAGGCATATTCCAATCTTAATATTGCAGTATTAGCCTATCACCCCAGATCTTTGTAAATCTTCAAATCCAATTACATTTTTAATTTGTACTGATGCACAGCATCATTAACTCCAGGGACTACTTGCTTTGACAAATGTGATTCTAAAAGACATTTGGAAAGTAACTTGGAACCAAAGAGAGGCCTAGTACTGACCACATCATCTGCTTGCACCCAGACTTGATTCTGTTGATGGACAGTTCTGTGACCTTAGGTATATCATATCATATCATAGGAGATGCTACAAAGGAGAGGTCAGTGGTGCTGGAAGAGCTTGTAACTGAGGGCTCTGATCTTGTTGAGGAGAGCAGGAAGGGCTCTCTGAATAAGTGACAAATAATTGGAAGCCTGAATAGAGAGGGGTAATGAATTGGATTATGAGGGGTTTGGGGTCCTGAAAATGATCACAGGGATCAAAGCTGGAATGCACAGTGTGGAGGATGTTACTCCTGAACATGAAGCATTTTTATCAGTGATTGACATGAGAGCAAATTCACCTTGGGAAGACCACTGTTAACCAGTGTGAAAATAGATTACAGGACAGGCAGGTAAGGGTGAAGAAGGTACTGCAGTAGTCCAGACAAAAGATGATGACACGTTAGACCATGGGCAGAGGAAGGTAAATGTTATATTGTGGGAGTACATCCAAAGACTTAATCTAGGATTGGAGGTGGTAAGAAAGGAAGGGAAGGTATCAGGCACATCTTTTGGGTCATTGAACTACAACATCCTATGAAGCAGTTGATGGTTCTGCTCCATTTTTTGCCTATGCACCACAGCTGCCTTACTTCAGTAGTGACTTTTGCTCATATCCTCTCAGATGCTCCCCTTTGCTCATCTTATATAGCTCTTATAAACCCAGTTTAATGCTCCCCTTCATGAATTCTGAAGGAAATGCTCAGGGCTCTTTGGTGATAGTAACACCCAGGATAAAACAACATTTGCAACCTTTACACATTATAGAAATTATCTGTTATGGTTTGGATGTAAGGTATCCCTCAAAAGCTCACGTGTGAGACAATGCAAGAAAGTTCAGAGGATAAATGATTGGGTTGTAAGAGTCTTAACCCAATAAGTGGATTAATTCCCTTGATAGAGATTAACTGAAGTGGTAGGGTGTGGCTGGAAGAGGTGGGACTTGGGGCATGGCTTTGGGGTATATATTTGCATCTGGCAAGTGGAGACCTCTCTGCTTTCTGATCATCATGTGAACTGCTTCCCTCTACCACATTCTTCCACCATGATGTCCTGCCTCACCTTGAGCCCCGAGGAATGGAGCCAGCTGTCCATGGACTGAGACCTCTGAAACTGTGGGCCCTGTAATGAAGTTTTCCTCCTCTAAAATTGTTCTGGTCAGAACTTTTAGTCATAGCAGCATAAAAGCTAATCAAAATACTATCCTGTCCAGGTAGTGATTACTCCCTATGTTCATCTTCTGCAACCATGCTTGCTCCATGTAGCTGCTGCCTCTCCATCTTGGGTCCCAAAAGGAGGTAATGGAGCAGAGATTTCCCTAACCAAACCTCAGGCCCACAGCCAACCTACAGTCACAGGAGCCAGAGGCATACTTACTTATATGCCACTGAGATTTTGAGATTGTTGCATAGTAAAAGTGATTGATAAACTTACCACAGGCTGTACTTGGGCCTTCATTTACCCCATCTCTCTTACACTGCACATTGTGGCATCAGCATAGAAGTACCTGTGTTCTAAAGATAAAGAAACTGAAGCTTAGGGAGGTTGATCTACATATTCAAAATCACACAGTGGAGCCAGAATTCAACCAAGTTTTCTGATTTATATTTTACATCCTGCAGTGTCTGACTTCAGAACTCTTCTCGTGGTTTTAACCACATAAACTTGTTGTCTTCTTTTTCTAGGTGGAAAAAAGTAGAGGATGAAGGAGTAAATTCATAACTTCTTCCTTTTCTAAGGAATGTCTTTCTAACCCAAAGACATTGGCTCAGAACTTAATCATTATATCCTGGATGCCAACCTAAGAAGCCCCCATCTGGGTCCTGTTTCTATGGGAGAATGCGTTCCAAATTCCAAAACACTTGATTTTATACTTGCATCGTTCTCTCTGGAGTTGGCTAGCATCTCTGTGTGTGAACACACATGCTTCCTTATGTTCTAAGATTTCCTGTGATTTTTATCTACTCCCTTACCTGGCTCAGATGTCTAAAATCAGTGTCACATCGCAGATATTTGCATTTACCTATAGATAGGGTTCCCAGGGCTATTGAATCTTCCACACAAGCTCAACTTCTGGGGTACCATTCATG